CTTTTCTCAGCCCCCTCGCCTCTTCTCTTGCTTATGGCGCTTTACAATAACTGTTTCTACTCTCCGAACTACGTTTTATCCACATTCAGTCACTTTTACGGCCTTTTGCCCTAGAATTACCATACCAAATACAAGCACAAATGGACGCCGCACGCCTGACAATTCGCTCGTGCCCGCTCATTTTCTTCCCGTTTTCTTCCCCTTCAATCCCGTACCGTGTCAAAAGAACTTTTAGTCATAATACATTCAATTTCACGCTTGCAACAACCCTTAACGAGGAATTGCTACCTTCTCATCACACGCGACATTATTTCATTCAGTTCATACATGCTCATCTTTTAGGCCTTTAATCGCGCAACAAACTAGTCCCATGAGTCTGAGTTTGCTTACCTTCCTTTTTCCTTTTGTCACACATCTGCCATGTAACATTAACTAAACGAAATACACATAACAATGCGTTCTTAATATACTCATATATTTTTTCCTAGTCGAATAAATCTTAATTGTCCCCCAAAACCGAAAACGAAATTTACAAAGGACGTGGAAATGTCCGATGGGTGACTATGTTAAAGTGAAATTAATTAAGTTTCAGTTACATTGCGGGTAACATAATTCTTATCTACTTCATTTTATGCTGTGGTGGCGTGTGTATTTACATTATCATTATTATCATTATTCAAGAGCCATATATTTTACTGCAGTCACTGACTCTCAATTTTATTACTGAGAATTTTTTTTTTTTAATTTCTGTATTTATTACAGTTATCATTATTAATGGTATTATCATCATTATCATCCTTAATATCTACATCATTCCAATCATCAATATTATGGCATTATTATTATTATACAAAGAAAGGATGTTATCATTATGGGTTATCTAGTGTCACATTCTCTCTCTCTCTCTCTCTCTCTATTTCTCAAACACACACACACACACACACACACACACACACACACACACACACACACACACACACACACACACACACACACACACACACATATCCCCCATGTCCCATACACAAGGATCGATCGATTGTGATTTGCGAAGTTCTAGCTTCGCCCGGGCCTTCGGCTATGGCCCGGCCTGTGTCAGCTTTTTAGGGCTGACTCATTTCGATCTATGGCTCTCGGTGCTTACCGTGGCGGTGGGATTGCCAGCAGGCGCTCCTGCTGCCACGGGGTAAGCGAATCGCAAAGTCTCTTTACCAGCACGGCGGCTGTTGTCGGGGGTCCCTGTCTCAGGAATTGTGTGTGTACACAATTCTCTAAGTAATGTATAAGTGTGGCGTTCGGCTCGCCGCAATGCATGCAACACCTC